AATGTGTCTTGAATTCTTCTAGAAAACACACTTACTATCAAAACTTACTATCTGATGCAGTGATGCTTCTCAAATAAATCCATCTCGTTTTAATAATTTTTAAACTGGAAAACACTGCAAAACAACTAATTAAAACGAGCTAAGAAGTCATTTGTTGCAGACACTTGTGAAAATGACAAATGAAAAAGGCTTTCAGTGCAATAAGCCTAAATACAGTCTTCATAAAGACACAATCATTGAAAACAAGACTTAATGTGCTGTAAATTGTCCTTCTCTCCTACCATTTGAACATCATGAGTGTTTTCATGAGCGCTGGGTGGTAACTGATTACATGTCATCTGGATTAATCAGATTCCCAAAAAAATGTACTTGTAATGAGATTATATTATGCTTTAAAAAGATCATAATCAGATTACAGTTACTTTTTTATGGATTACATGATTACATATTATTCATACAATGGCAGTGTATTATTCATAATTTGATTATCTCTTTCTTTTAAATCAATTGTCTGTTTACTCAGTGCCAGACAACAAACAACAGTGCGTTGAAACGGTCAGTAATATAAGAAAAAATACAACAGAAAAAAATACATAAATGAAATAAACTATTTAGCCTACTAAAAAATAATACTCTAGTCTACAGAAACTGAATAAAGCAATCAAATGTAAAATTAAAACGCTGCATAGTCTTCACCGTATGAATTAAATATACAATGATGTTATTAAAGTTATTTAGTGAAGCGCAGGGAAAGAAATTCTCATGTTTCTTTTGTTGTTTAATTAACATTAATAACAGAAGCAGCAGGACTATTAGGCTGCTGTCACTTTAAAGGGGTCATATGATGCAGCTATAACTTTACAGATCTTCTTTATGCACCAAGAGCTTGTAACACTCCAAAGAGAAAGGAAAAAATGAAATCACATCATATGACCCCTTTAAGACCGAATGCACAAATCTAATATACTGACAAGCATTTGACTACTGATTACCTACCCAACTGTTTATCTTTACTTAAGACAAGGCTGACTGTGTTTAAGTGAAAACTCACAAATTTTTGACATTTTGACATATTTTTGTGTGCATTTGTCCATTTAAGAGCACAGCCGAAGCCCAAAGTAGCCGATACTCATCCGTATTGTGTTCTGTCTCAGATCGTGTGCACAGAAAGCTGCTTGAGGAAGATCTTATTTCTAAACCACACGATTTGAACTTGTTTTGGTTTGTTTTTGGGCTCGTTTACAGTTTTTTACGATTGCTTACACACTAAAATTAAACTTTTTTGTTGTTGTTGTTTACTGTAATTGTAACCTGTACTGGATACAGTATTTTACGTTTGTCTGTTGTTTGCTGCGCTAACAGTGTTATGCACACTACTGTAGTAGCATGACAACTGGGACATGTTTTGTTGTGATTCTCCATGTTGACTGATTTGGGTATATGGAGAGAAATCAATGATATTTTTGTCAGTCTGCAGCATTGGTCTTGTGTAGTGTTTGGTGAACTATTGTATAGTTGCACTTTCTCTGTGTACTTCATTTACAGTACTCTAATCACTGAGAATTAGACTTGCTAAAAGTGTTTTAGGTTAGCAACAGCAGTGTGTAACTGGTTCAAAAAGATTAAAGTCATATGAAATGTGTGTGTTTCGTATGGTAACAAAATATTGTTTTTATAAAGTTGTGTATAGTTTTGACAAAAGTGTTCCATTTTGCAAATGATCTGAAGTGTTGTGCTGCTTTGGTGTAGGGTTGTTAATTGTGTGTGGTGTTTTGACAAACCGGGCCCTGTTTTCAAAATTGTGCTTAAGCAATCGTAAAAAACTGTATTTATTTTTTTGTAGCAATATCTGGCTACACTGCATCACTGACACTTAAACAGACAGTATAAAAGCCCAGAGAGAGCAACAGTAGCTAGACGGAACTCAGAGAGTTGTGCAGTGAGAGAAGAGCAGCGATCCGGCGACTCTGAAAACTGTGACATGTGTGTCTGGCGTTAATGTGAGTCCTGATGTAACGTGTGTAAGCTCACGCTGCGGGTGAAAACAAACAACAGGTGGCGCATATATTACTGCAACGACCTGCTGCATGATGTTAATGCTGTGATAATGAAGCACATGTGAATATATAATGCCATCACATTATCTGTGTATGTGTGTGTGTGTGTGTGTGTGTGTGTGTGTGTACGTGTGTATGTATGCATGTATATGTGTATATATGTATGTGTGTGTGTGTGTGTGCGTGTGTATGTATGCATG